GGGCACAGGCTCCTCCCCTAGGGCCCCTCTCCCGCTGCTGGGGGGGACAGGGCACAGGTTCCTCCCCTGCACCTGGGGGGGGCGGGAGGTACACAAGCAGGCTCCTTCCATCCTTAAGGGTGTCACTACAGAACCCACCCCCCATTCTCCGCCCCTTGCTCCCCACCTTGCACTGCTGCATTCCTCGGTGCTGGGGCCAAGAGCCGCCTGCAGTGTGTCCAGCGGTGGGGCTCTGGGGCCTGGCATTCAGCCAGGGCCATTCCCCTGTTAAACTGTAGCCCGTCACAGCAGCGCATGGGCTAGAGCCCGACTCAGCACCAAGGTCTGAAATGATCCGGGATGGGAAAGACCCCCGCAGCCTCCCACCCTGGGCTCAGACCCAGCCAAGATCAGCTGTGAGCGGAAGCTCTGCCATCGGACACATATTAGGTGTCCCGTGTGACACAAGGGCAGCGGGTCTCGCACCCAATCCCAGCGGGCAGGTCTCCATGTAACAAAACCCCCTGCAACTGGGAGGCCCCGGACTGAATGGGTCTGGAGACAAGGGGCTCTGTCACCCATGCAGGCGGGCGCTGCAGGGCCCAGCTGAGACCCACTGGCAGGGCACAGGGTGTGGGAAGATCGCCCAACTACTGCCCGTGCTTGTGCTGTAGCCGCTCAGTGGATAACGGCGGATGTCAGACTCCAGGACTGTCCAGCTGTCACTTTTAACCAGAGTCGAAATTCACGCCACAAGAATCACCTTTATGATAATTTCACAGATACGTTTTGCGTTGGAAACCAGGCCCCCATTAATCCTCCAGTAAAAAGCAACAGACAAAGAGGGACAGAGTGGGGGGAAAAAACATAACATTGCTGCTCAAATACTGGATCTGCTGCTTTTCAATAGATGCAACTGGCGAACATGTGGCTGTAGTGAGGTCTGGCCCCTCTGATCCCTTGACCCATTGTGGGCAGGACACAGCACACCTGTGGCTCATACCACCACCTAGTGGAGAGGGTGCATAGGAAGCACCTGGGTAAAGATGGCTGGAGAACGTTGGGGCTGTTCTTCCCTGCACTGGGACCTGATGAGACCAGAGAGCTTCACTCAGACTCCCCTGTACTGAGCTAAAAGATCTCCGCTAAACCAAAGCATTTCTTTGCCTGCTGCCAATAAGCCAGGGGCTGAGAGCAGTGGGAGAGGTTGGAGGGGGTTGAAGGGACAGCTCTGTTCAGCCGCTGGCCGGTAAATCGGTATGCTCTGTGCCCTTCTGTCCCAAGCAGAGACTCTTATCCATTAGTGAACATTCCCAGGCCAGGCTCAGCCCAGGCGCTTGCAGACAGCACACACTGGCAGTGGCCACATGCTCCAGACCCAGAGAGGGCTGAGCTGAGCTGGGCTGACCCTAGATTTCATGGGGGGCTCATGTGAAGAAACCAACTTCCTGATGCCCCCCACTCCTGGCTGTATCCCGTCTCCGCACCTCGATTCCCTCCCACACCAGAGCAGGTGTGACTCCAACCCAAATGCAGGGGAGACCCTAGACATGTGGGAGGCTGCCCTTGGATAGTGGGAGGTTGAAGGGGATCATCTAGCCCAGGGGTCCCAAATGTGCAGGCTGTCCCTGCAAAGGAAGAGAGACACGTGAGCAGCAGTGGAAGAGGGGGAATGTAGAAATCACCATGCTGATCCAGCTGGTCCAGTAGCCAGTCTCTGGCCGTGAATGATACCAGCTACTTTGGAGGCAAGCGCCGGGAACTCCCAGCTTGGACAGACATGGGGAGATCTCGTCCTATCCCCAGACTTGTGTCCTGAAGCAAGGGGCCCATGATATAGAGAAAGGCCTTTTGGGGATGCTTCTACGCTCTTGACCTCCATGATATCTTGTGGCCATGAGTTCCACTGGCTAATCCCAGCTTTAACTGTGACATCCATTGATTGCTTTGAACTTGTAGTAGGAGAGGATCAAGCTCTCCTGACTGACCAGCCGAGGATCAGCTTCTGGCCAACCATCCCCATACCCTGCTTTGTTTGATACCTCTCTAGTGCACCCCCTCTCTCAGCTGGAGTCAGCCTACCCCAGGAAGGGTGTGAGACCCCAGAGGAGATACAGGTGGGGAGAGGGCTGCTCCCACAATGTGCCTCACTGCGGACCCACAGGGACCATCTGGTGGGTGGTGGGAGAGGTCAGTCATGGTAGCCCATTCAGTCGTTGGCCTCTCTGCTAAGTCTGCCGACAAGGGGACTCATCCGTGGCAGCGTCTGTTGCATATGTGAGCGTGTCCCCAGGCGATGGGCTAAGACCCATTTCACAGAAGCCATCAACCAGTCCTAATTTCCAGTCCCCTCGGACCTAGCACGGCTCTGAGCCCGTGCTGGGGAGATCTGCAGCCTGTGCCTGTCCCCTGGCCCATCTGACCCCCTGCGGGCTTGATCCCATGCCCCCTGCATCTCTCAGCCCCCTCCCCTCCATTCCCCTTCTCCTTTGCTCTGTACCCTCGGACAACGGGCTCCCAGAGCTGAGGGCCAGACGTGGAGTCCGGGGGCATCTGAGGCTTCCCTGGTGCCGAGGCGTTTGTGAATTATTGATCTCATCGCTGCGGAACATGAACATGCTGGGGGAGGACCAAGCTCAGTGCCGCCCCCGCAGCCTGGCTCCCCACTCTGTTCCCATGGCAACCGAGGAGGAGGAGGAGGAGAGGGTACCCTGCCTAGGAAGAGGAGCAGCTTGGGAAGTCCCTCCCGAGATTAACCCTTTCATCCCTACAGGGACCGACACCAGGGTGCTGGGCACATCTGACTTAGGGAGATGGGGATGGGTGCTTGAGTAGATGGACATGAGCCTTAAGGAAGCTGGGGAGTAGGGGGTGGGGTGATGAGGGACACAGCACCATCCAGAGGTAGGATTGGCTGGGATCTGGATTTTCCAAGCCCAGCTGTGGTTCCATTATGGATCCCATTTCTTCTGGCCGCCCAAGAGCCCCGTCCCATTGGAGATGAACCCAAGCATGGCAGTGGTGGCCCTGGATAGAAAATAGAGACGGGGGAGGGGGGAAGGAGTGGAGGAGGAGATGAGGGATAAACAGAACAGGGAAAGGACGGGGGAGTAGAGGGAAGAGTTGGAGATGGAGAATAAGAAAGTGGGATTCAAGAGGAGAGATTGAGAGTGGAGGAACCAGAGGTTTGAAGGGGGAGCATTTGCAGGTGGGAAACCAGGCCTCTTTCACTGTTCCAGCTGCTAGTGTGTGTTTGTGCAGGCCCATGGGTGGGTTTCTGCACCCCCCTCCCTGTGGCAGGAGGCCTGTTGGTGCTTAGGAGCATGGTGTGCATGCACATACGTGTGTGTGACTCTGTAGTTGTGTATGTGTGTGTAAGTGTGCTTGCAGTTGTGTGCCCTCGCAGATGTTCTTGCATGTGGCCACAAGCACAGCTGGAAAGGCAGATCTCAGTTTGGGAGGCATTCTTGTCCGTATCCCTGTATATGCATGGGTGTGTGGCAGCCTGTATGCAACATGTGTGCATGCCTGTGTGTGCCCCCATGTGCGTCTGTGTGTCTGGTGGCTTATGCACACTAGCCCTGTGTGACAGGATGCCCTGATTTATGGGGGGTGGGGATGGGGACTTATTTGGGTGCATGAAGGTTCCTAACTCTGCTCATCTCTAAAGTGACCTGCAAAGGAAAACCCAAACCACCAAGATTTGTGCCTCTGGGGGCCTTTCAAAAACCAGATTTTTTTTTTCTTTTAACCCCAGAGCTAGTAGAGCTCTGAGGCCTTTGCTGGAGGACTCCTTAGAGAACTACAGACCTCGACTGGGTGCCGGCTCAGCGAGGGGCCAACTTTCACAAAGAGGAGTTCTCTCCCAAGTGGTTGTTGGGTGTTTGAGTTAAATGGGCACCAAAAACCAATCCGAGGCCAGAGCTGGACTCAGAATCCCTTCCTCGGGTTTCAGCTTCCTGTAGATCCTGATCCTTCCTCAGTCAGCACAGGGAAGCGGATACTTTTCATGTGAACACAAGCCGACTCCCCCGCCCCCTCCCAACAACCTTCATCTGAAGTAACAGCAGCGCCCCCTATCTTTCCCCATTCGCAAATGGCTTTGATGAGTTCGGCTGTCTGCTGTGCACTAAACTCAAGTGACCAGCAGGTGGCGGCAAGGTTTTTGGCTCCAGCCCTGCTCAGACACATGACACAGGGCAAGGGGTTTTTTGGTGGGGGGGGGGGGAGGAAGGGGGACAGTTTTTCATGGCACCCAGCACCACTAACAGCAGGGCCGGCTCTAACTTTTTTGCTGCCCCAAGCAGCAAAAAAAAGCGCCGCCCCGCCGAGCCCCCGCCGCCGGAGCCCGCCCCCCCCCGCTGA